TGAATTACGGCATTACGGCATTTTACCAGTTGGTAGAATTAATTACGGCACAGTACCTGATTGCCGTAAATAGCATAGTTAAAAATCCGTTTATTGGTTAATCAAATTAAGGTTTGCATGTGATCTAAACCAATAAAATTTAACTACAAATATAACATGTGTGAAATATAATTTTAGATTTAAAGCAAAACTTGAATAGAAAGGTTAACTTTGCTTTAAGTATTTATACATATGTTCAAAACTTAATAATTATTGACTACTATTAAGCTTAAATATTTATTTTAATTCATAATTTAAGCTACGGTTACAAATAAAAGAATTTGCTTTAATTGTTTATCAAGAATAAGTCTTAAGCATCGATAATTTTTATAAGCGATAGAATAGTTTTCAAATATTTATATTTATTGCAGATTAAAGCTTAAATTTATCAGTAATTTTTCAAATCTGCTCATTATGCAAGAAATTAACTATTTTTTTAATTATTTATTTAAATCTCAAGTAATTCTTCATATTTGTCTTTTATGCAATAAGTGCAGTTTTAATTAAACAGTTCAAATAAAACTGCAAATTAACTGTGTCTTGTTTCATCCATTCTAATATATTTAAATTTGTTTTGCAAAAACTGTTCATATTATTTAATGTACCAGGAGATTTTGTGCATGATTGACTTGATTGAATATTATCAAAATTAGTTAACTGACTTGGCCAAGAATTACCAAAGCTATTTGATTGGCTTGGATCAATATTGTCAAAACTTTTTGATTGACTTGACTCAGCATTACTAAAATTTCTTGATTGACTTGACTCAGCATTACTAAAACTACTTGATGCAATATTATCTATTGATTTTCAAATTATAAAATTTGTAAGTTATATATATTTTTTAAAAGTAATTAACTTCTTTTTAACTTTATATAATTGTTAGAGAATATCATATAATGTTATACAATTCAATTCTTAAAATGAATAATACCACTATTTGTAATATTCATAAATAGAGTTTAAGAAAAAATAGTAATACTTTGTTGATTATTTTTTGATATAATATTAGAAAAAAATGGAATATACTGTAACAAAGTTATATTTACATTTTGTAAAATATAAGATTCTTGATTAAAATCTAAAAGAATTCAATTTAATTAATATTTAGTAATAAATAATATTGTTTTGATAATTCAATACAATAATAATATTATTATTATGATCAATTGCTTTTTGCAAATTAGTTTCAACTTGACTAGTTGTAACTAAATAATCAATAGCTATATCATCATCATTATCAGAAATTGTTTGATTAAGTTCATCATTTATTTTTTTGTCTGAACAAAGCCGTTCATTATAAGATTAAACAAGTATATTAATTGATTCAGATAAATATTTATAACAGTATATACATTTAAAATCTATAGTAGCAAAATATTGTTGATGATAAGCATGTCTGCAAGCAAGCATTTTGCCATCTTTAGTAACAATATCTTCACAGATTTTAAAATCACAAAATTTTTTTGTATTAGGTTGTTGTTTAGTAAAATATCCTAAAGAAAGAGCTCTTTTAAAAAACTTTTTTTCAAATAATAGAAAGTAGTAATATAGCTTAAGATTTTTAACTTTTTCTAATTTTATAATTTCTTGCCCTTGATTGTTTCAGATTTCATTAAATAGCTGCAACAAGCAAATTGCTGATTGTTTGATTAGAATATCCAAGATTTTTTTATTATAAGAATATTTGTTTTTATTAGTAAATAATTTGGCAAAATCTTGTTGATGTTGTGTATAGTTAATAAATAGTGCATTACATCAAAGCCATTCTGGTTTTAATACTTTTTTTGTTGTATGTCTATGAATTAAGCTGTGAAAGTTTTTGACCAGATATTCATCAAATAAGAATAAATATGATTGAAGTATAGCTATAATTACCGTAAACTGCCGTATACAAGATCCCCCCAGATATCAGACCCACTATGTACTATACCCAGGTCTATAACATAGATTAAGATTTTAGTAAATTGTAAAATACCCG